TAACAAAGGGTCCATCCCGTTGACATAATAAACATTATCATTATTATTATTATTATAAAATATGGGAATAATACTGGGTTTATTTACTATTCGATCTAAACGTACGACAAATCTTTGCTCGAAGATAACGGTACATTGTGTGATTATTTCAAGCGATAGCGTCATCACTGAATTTCCTGGATTTCAGTAAGAGTGTCTCGTTTACATACTACGCGCAATCTTTAAAGAATTTTTTCGTCAGAATCGTGTTCGATAACCCGGGAATTACAGTACTCGACACAGATAAGCATCGATACATGATCGATAACGATTGAATAATCTTATAAATAGAACACTCGCGATTCCGCGAATTCTTTCGCGGCTGGCGCAACCATTTTTCGGGTTGCCCAAGCGCCGTTTCTGTTTTTGTTTTCCGGCTTCGGCGATTGGTTTTGTAATCTGATAAGCGTTTTATGTCTATCTTGCTAGCAAGGTCCTTAAGGCTTTGAACGTTTCGTTCATTTATCCTGTTAAGATCCCTATTTGGCGAGGTGCCTATTTAGCGCGTAGTCGCGCATAATTCGCGTCTCATCCCGTGTATTATATTTCTCCGTAAGGGTTTCGTGAACGAGCAATCGATCGACTTTAGAGTGTTAAACAAACATGGGTCTCCCGGTCTGTTTGAGATGATGTTCAAACGCAACAGTATCTCCAGACACCTACCGGGGCAGCTATCGCCATAGGTAGGTTAATTATCAGGGACACTTGAAAACTGCCGGTTGATAGAGTGCATATCGATCCGATGGAAAAGGGGTAGGTCGATAATCGGTGTTCGACCGGCACGATCAAGCTTAATTCTTGGAAATCCCGAAACGACAGTCCGAAATCGCCTGATACTGTTTCAATTGGTCACGTCGAAAAGTTCGGTAGTCTGTCGCAATACAATTCGTCGGCGTAATTGCAGGTGAATCATCCAGATTAGCAATCGAACTTCCCCGAGGCGTCATGCAATAGCGAAGTGGCTGATAAAACTGTTTCATGAGTTCCCACTCCTATATTATTAAACAAGTTCTTCTGATTTTGCATTGTGGACACCGGTGTGGCAATTGGCCTGTTAAAAGACGAGTAATTGCCAGGTCAACGTATAACAACCGCACAGTATTCGCTTAATGAAGCAAAACCAAGCGAAACACGGCGGCGGAATGATCGAAGAGAGCGAGGAAACGACGAATTTGTCGCAGAAACGAAAAGGTAGCCCGATGAAAAAGCTCGCGTAACATTCCACTCGCGGGATGGTTGATGGCGTCACGTCGGGGAATAGTGTCGCACTTGAAAAATCAATAATAATCGATATCGGCGGCTGCGGGCCACGTATCCGCGACAGAAAGCGAATCGCCGAGAACGCGTTCCTCTATTTCCGTACCCAGCAAAAACCGAGCTATAATTAGTGGGGAAGAAGAGAATTTTCGTTACATACAGAACGATGTATAATGACCGCGACGATAGAGCGAATACACCGAGAACCCGCGAGATCTTCACGCGTACCGGCAATAAAACAAGCTGCGGATTTTGATTCGCGAATCGCGTTCACCGGTGTTGATTCATTTAAAAACATCTCCCTTTTTCACCTCGAAATGGTATTTAATAAATTGCTGAGATACCTTCTAAAAAGCTGTGGTCGGAAATATTAATGAGAATTTTCGAATTAGACATCTGCGAATGAGAAGTTACATACGCGTATTCAGAAATAGTTTCTGTAATTTACATTGGACGATGATTTTTCATAATTTATTAATACTAGAAGAGACTATAATAACTTGTTTCTGATTTTTTCTGTTAGTGTTACTCAGACGTATACAGGTGTACCACACTAAAAATTAATCCACTTGCAGGTCACTTTCAAATAAAACTCATTCCTTTGCAGATTAGATTCACTTGTTGGTACTTATTCGTAATAAAGTTCATAGTAAATTCATATTAAATTAAAAGATAAATTTATAATTAAAGGATTAATTTAATTTGCAAAAGGGTGAATTTGATTTGCAAAAAGAATATGATCTACGAACGGGTTAACTTGTAGTGCAGAAAGACGAATATGATCTACAAAAGGATTAGTTTGGAGTGCAGAAGTGTGAATATGATCTACAAAAAATTATTTTGGAATACAAAACCTATATTATACAATATAAATCGTATAAAGTCTGAGGAAATCAAATCTTGCTATTGTTACGAAACAATATGTATACACATTAATCTCATCTAGGGTGCGGTAGTTCTACTAGTGTTAAAGACTAATTTCCACGAAGTCTCAATTTATTCCGATCAAGGATAAAACCACCGCGAATAAGGTTGCACAAGAATGATAATGAAATTTTCTGGAAAATGCAGCATGCTCGAGGATCTGACTGCGATAACGTCACTTGTTCATCGTAACAGTTGTCGGTAACGACATTTAGAACAGAGCCCGAGCTTAATCCTGTCCTCGGACCAGAACAAAAGCCTATATAAATTAAAATCGATATAATACGCTGCGGGGAGAATGGATTACCGTGCCGCGGACGCATTCGGACTGTCATTGAATGGACGGATCACAATAAAATTCTTCAAAGTGTAAATACGTGTTCAATGGGTCACGTAGAAAGGAGTGTCGCGGTTTGCTGAAACTTTGTTGTACGAAACAACGTCGGATGCCGTTCTTGAAGAAGCAAACGTAGTCGTCGCAAAGAAATCGTTAAACTGTCGCATACCCTTTGCAACAACTTCGAATACAATTCGCAGCGTGCACCTTGCTTTATCGCGTGTGAACAATATAATCAATTTTCCGATCGAACATGAAAAGAAATTTGCATGTGCAACTATTTGTTTCCCTATTATGTCAAGTATCGCCGTTCTGTCGTTTTATGGGTAAGAAATAAATTAGGATCGAAGAATAAGAGCTTGGAAGTCGCGTTGTGTAATACAAGTTTTATTTTGTGTAATTTAATTAGCTCATCATATTCACCTTTTTGCAGTTCGAATGAACAGTTTTGCAGATCCTATTCACCTTTTTGCAAATAAAATTCACTTATTTCTAATAAAGTTCATATTCAATTTAGAAATTGAATGAAATTTTAAAAAATTTGGATGAATCTGATTCGTAAAAAAGAAAGTAAATTAGACTTAATTAATTTCAGTATAATTGAAGTGCGAAGATGAGAATATAATCTACTGAAAAGATTCGTTTGGAGTACAAAACCTGAATTTTCTATTCGATTTTACTAAATATCCGACTAAATTCGACAATTTTTAAATTCGACATATTTTTGGAAGCTGCGCTGTGATACAATGTTTTCAACTTTTCATGTAAAAAGATATAATAATTAATATAAAAATACAAAAGCAAGTACAAATTCACTTGCAAAATTCAAGAAATTTTACTCCATTAAGGAGGAATTAAATTAAATTAAATGAATTAGAAATTAGATTGAATAGAATTAAATTGTTATTAAATACTATTAAGATAGATTGTATGGCAAATAGTTAATGATAAAATGGCCCCGGTGCGACGGTTGCGCAAGAATCGGCAAGGGATGGAAGCTTTTGTGTCAGGGTAAAATGCGTCGCTGTTGACAAAACGCCTTCACCATTGTATTAGGTGCAAGGTGAGGACATGCCGCTGTAAAGCCCGTGTCACCCAAACCTGCTGAAGTACAGGGTTATCTACTCAACTCGAAACCTATGTGTACAAGAACTAGTGCAAACAGCAATAGTTCCAGCGTGTGGGACTTCAAGCATATTCGGCTCGACGACTAAGCTCGATTCCGATCGAGCCGACATAAGCAGGTCGAGGCTCGATCCACTTGGTCTCGATTCCGATCGAGTCAGAATAAGCAGATCCGCTTAATTCTATGAGTCAAGGAAGATCCGTTCAGATCGAGTCAAAACTATCCAGATCGGTCCGATCCGAGCACGCTAAATAAATGATTAGATTCACTAGCCTCGATAAAAAGTACATATGTACATATATTCGATTTAAATCGTGAGCATGAAGGCAAGAATCGAAAGAATTATATTTGTGTAGGTTCTACTAGAATGTTATTCGAAAATATAGATTTATATTTAATATAGAATAATAATAGAAACTATTTAATCAATTTAAGAAAATTGTTCACAGTGACTGTCTCAGTTGGATGAAAACTTACAAAAAATGAGAATAACTAAATATTAGTCAATGAGATCTACTGTAGATCAATTTCGTTTATTATTTATTATACATATAATTCTATATAAATTCTATTTAATTTTAAAGGTTTCGAACATGAAGTAGAGATAAAACATAAAAGTATGGATTAAAATAAAATTATTATTATTATTATTATTATATTATTATTATATTATGCAATAAATAATTCTAGAACAAGATTAAATGATTATAACAGTTAACCAGCTTCTGATAATTGCTGGGTACATCTTCAAATACTTTTTTCCAGATACTTTGTCATATAATAGAGTCGAAATTCTTAATTACTCTAACAGGAAAAATGATAAACAATCTCAGGTATCGAAAACGCAAACGTTCTATGTTAAGGATGGGACCTCTAGTGTTGTCAAGCAAGTGTTAAGTCAATGAAACTGATGCAAGTATGTAGACTGTTGCAACGTTGTTACGACTATAGAACTCAGTTTCATTAGAATATATGACATTTGCTTTTTTCGAGGATGTGGGAATACCGGATCTAGAAGAGAAGCTTAAGAATACGAAATTGAAATCTAATGAACAAGATACTACTAAATGTGAGTTTGATTCATTTCTTTTTTCGACTGGAAGTCAAATTTTTTTATTCCGCAATCGATATTTAAGTGTTGAATTAAATATATGACAAATAAGAATTTTCATTGTCGCCAAGTGAAAATAAATACGATGAGTAGTCAATGAAGAGAAACTTGTGTCTCCAAGGTATTTAAAAAAAATATTGAAAGATCTTTTTGCTAATCGAGTATGAAAATAAAATGATTTCATTTGGGAAAACCAACTTTCTTCCTTTGGATGAACAGGATTTGTTTATTTTAGCCTCATTGTTACTTTAAATACCCTAACAAAATAATCTGATTCCCGCAGCTTTCGATCAAAAAGTGCAGGTATGCTACAGTGAACTTGCAAATTAACAATTGTCATTCGTGAAAAGAAGTTTTAAGGCGTAGTAAAACGTTACTGCATAATTATTACATTGGTTTGTGTAACATATGTTTTACATTAAATAACTGTTGGAAACTTTATTACAAAAAAGGATACTTACACGTGAGTGAAACAACGTATTGAGGAACATTAATTTCGCTCCTATCAGAACAGAAATCTTTACGTTCTTCCAGTCATTCCCAGGGTGTTACGTAATTGGTTGCTGGTAGAAGTTTGCCACAATATTGCTAGGTCGATTCAGTGTATTAAGCATTACTAAAATCAATAACGCTGCATGCCACGTCGTCGTAGCATGCCATAAACTGCGTACAAATCTCGATGCTTGTAATAAAACGTCATTGTCCGGTCTACGATTAAAACGAAAGAACGGTTACATCTGGTTCGAAGAAAGCGACCGATCGATTCGTTCACATCCCTAGGATTTTAAAACGAAACGCTCCTACTTGTTAATTATTTTCAATATCGCGTATACAATGCATATTTTCGACATGTGTATCCATGTGTATCTTTATGCATGTATGTGTGCGTATGTACGTATGTATATATATATATGGATGTATGTATGTATGTATATACACACGGCGTTTAATTAACGAACGAAGATTACACGGGAGCGACTTCCTTCTAGTAGTAAAACGGCTCACACACTTACAAATGTTATCAACGTAATCCTAACGACAGGATCGTTACTTTGATATGTACAATTTTACTAGACGATTTATTGTCATACTAGATGTCGTACACTTCGGTCAACCTATCGGAAGGATGACAATTTTCCTTGACTTCCAGATCATTTCGAAACTACAATGATTTGATACACAATGAATGTCTGTTCGTCATAGATTTTTCATATTTCGCTACTCACGTATACAACGCGGTAAACTTCATAACGAATAAATTAAATGAATTGTTCTTGAAAATCAATACTTTAAGGATAACTGTTAAAGGACAACATACACCCTTTGATAGTCAATCGATTTTTTATCAAGACTCAATGCTCTCAATGCTCTCCCAAAATTATTTTTCAAAAGTCTTCCAATATATCCCTAAAATAACTCAATTAACTTGAAATTTGACACAAAGCTCGATTATACAATTATAGCTGTTTAGGATCGTAGGATCTTCTTAAAATATTATAATTTCTTCTTTATGAGCAAAAAGAATGACTGTTTTAATATATGCTGTAAGAGAAATTGTTTTTCTTCCAAATAAAATATTGTATAGAACTTAGAATGGTTACCATTGACGTTCTTCTGCTAAATAGCCTTGACAATACCACGTCTATATGATTAATTTCACGATATTTTTCTTGAAAAATTGCAGGTTATACACATGAAATTTGTATATAATTTAATGTATACATACGTATACACATTTTATGATACAAAACATTTTTCATGAGATAAAAATTTGTTTCATTTTATCTGTTTTCACGATTCTAGGCGTATGTTGTCACTTGAATGAATTGGCAAGAAAATCACTAATTTAGGGATAAGTGTTAACCGATGAAAATGAAAAACGACTGAAAAGAACGAACGAAACATAAATTTTATAAACAGTAATACTGGCTTGTTATCTCGATTCATACGGTCACTTCACTACAGTTTTAAGGGATAAAATCTTAAGAATAACCTTCTGATGTCACTGTAACCGGAACCACGGTAATGGACATGTTCGGACGTAAAAAGTCAAACTGAATGACTTGAAAATACGTTACAATAAAAGCAAGGAAAATTATGCTGGTACAGGCAGTAAAAGCAATACACTTCTAAGAAATAATAGCGTGTGATTAACGTTAAACGTGTCCATGCAGGACGATGCAGATATTGGACAAGGAGCTTACCTTCATATTGTTCTCGGCAATTAACTCGATAGAACATAGTTGATAAACAACGTAAGCACGTAGAAGCTCTTTGGTGGTTTTGCTTTTGAAAGCTGCTACTGGATCGTTAAACTTCAAATCCAATGGGTCGACCTGTCGTGGAGCCGGCTTCACATCAGCAGCAGCGCCGGTGTATTCACGTTCGTGCACCTGCACCAACTGCACCGATGGTTTCGTTACGTTCTCGAGAAACCCGACAGGAAGTGGCACACACTTCCTTAACTTTTTACCGGCACTGCAACGCGGCACCGTTCTCAAAAACGCCATACCTTGCCGTCGCGTGTCTAATGTAAGAAATGTCAGCAAGCAACGACAGACGCTTTATTTCAGAAAATATGCAACAATCCAAAAGTTTAACGTTTAAGAGTCCCTCTCAGATATATCACTGAGAAACGAATAATCGTAAATGACTCGATATTACACTGTGTAACGTAGAATGGATAAAAGCTATTTCTCAGTGACAAGCGGGGTAAGTCCAACCTGCGACGATCGAGTCGGGGACCCCAATACCAATAGAGGTATCTCGTCAAAGCTTAGGCCGAATCGCAAGGTGGGGTACTCGTAGACATCCAGCGACGTACGAGTCAACCGCTTGCCTCGCAATAAAACTCCTTATAACGTGAAATGTATTTGAAAGATCGGCCAGAAACCATCATTAAAAACTCTGCGAATTTTTCGAGACGGTCCCTTTTTCATTTTGTTATAAATATTACGCGGCAAACAGAATTTCAATTGTCGTACGTTGCCCCAATTACTATACCGCAACAATAGATACCAGGGCTCTGATTGGTTCATCGCAGAGGTGTGTTCGGATTGCCAAGCGTGATTGGTCGGCGAAATTTTGGGAAATGCCAATAACTGCGCCATGCTGTATCGCGCACAGTGGCGCAAAACACATTCTACATTCCCCGAACCAGCTTGCCTAATTCCAATTGTATGTAATCTATAACGATATACGCTACATTTACTGGTGAATGTTTTTTTTTTTGTAAAATAATAATTTAAATGCATAATTCATGATTTTTCAATCGAAGAGCATTTGCAGAACATTGTATGAAATGAGTGACTACATCGTTCAGGTTTCGTTGAATTTTGATTTATTTAAAAGAAAAAGTATAAGGGACATTATTATGTTTTTATTTTTAATAGAACTTCCATTATTTTAGTATTAATGGCAATGCTATATATATATATAATTAATAAATAATTTATTAATAATTAATAAATACTGAAGATTTTATATAACAACAAATTTAA